TAATAATGAACAATCTGAAAATGAAGTAAAGAAAATTCAATTTACAATGGCACCAAAAAGAAGAAAGTTTTAAGAATCAGTTTAGGGTGCTGGGGCTGTAGCTTAGTGATAGAGTGCTTGCTAGCACATGTGAAACTTTGGGTTCAATCCATAGCACTGCATGAAAATAAATAAGTAAGTAAAATAAAGGCATGCTGTCCATCTACAACTACACAATAATTTTTTAAAAAAAGAATCAGTTTAACCAGGGAAGGATAATAATTGCTTACTAGAAATTACAGGATATCATTGAAAGAGAGAACATGAAGATAAATGGAAAGAAAACAGAGTTTATGGGTTGAAAGTTTTAAAATTGTTAAGATGGCATTACTTTCCAAATTGATCTATAGATTCAATGTATTCCCTATCAAAATCCCAAGAGTCTCCCTCCCCGTGATACACAGTCCACAGAAACACAAGGGATTCAGAAGAGTAAAGCAATCTTGAGAAGGATGAAGTTGAACAATGCACACTTCCTCATTTCAAACCTTACTATGAAGCTAGCATAATAATGATTGTTTATTTCTGGCATAGTATAGATATATATCCATGGCCTAGAACTGAGAGTTCAGAAATAAACACAAACATCTATGGAGACTTTCAAGTCAAACTAAGACATGCACATTTATTACTACAGGGAAAAAGTGAAACTGGATCTTTTCCTGATACTATGCACAATAATTGATCCTGAAAAAGGAAAGACTTAAATGTGCCATGCAAAACTTAAATATAAAAGGGCCATAACAGCATAGGTATAAGGAAGATTTTTTTTTCAGTGCTGAGGATTGGCCCCAGGGCCCCTGGTGTAATGGCTCTGGCATTGAGCTACACTGTCCACCCAGGAAGAAATTCTTAAATAAATTTCCCAGAGCACTGATTCACAATGAGAAGTTTGGTAAATGCAGCTACATTAAAATGAAAAACTCCATTCATCTAAAGATAACAACATAAAGGGAATTAAGACAATTCACACTAAATCCACAGTGGTTTCCTGAATCAGGTCCTGAAACAGAAAAAGGACATGACCAAAGAAACTGGTGAAATCTGAAGTCTAGAGTTTAGTTGATAGTAATGTATGTCAATGTTGGTTTCTTAGCTTTGAAAAATGTCCCATGATAATTTAAAATATTAACATTCATGGAAACTAGGTAAATAGTACATGATAATTTTTTGTACTGTCTTTGAAATTCTTCCCTAAATTTAACATTACTCCCAAATAAAAAGTTTATTAGCAGTTTGGGAATTGATTCTTGTAATATGTGTAACAAATAAAGGATTAATTTTAAAGAACTACTAAAAATCAATAAGAGAAATTCATACCACCCAATGATAAAATGGGCAACAGTTGTGGATAGATATATTTCAGAGGAGAAGTAAATGGCTAATAAAGTTAACAGTGAATCAAAAAGTGTTTCAGAAAAGCCAACATATAATATACATGTAATCTCATTAGGAAGCAAATAATGTAAATTAATACCTCAATGGTATCCCATTCTCCCTCAATTCTCTTATATACTATTTGCTGATGGAATGTAAAATGTACAGATATTCAGGAACAATTGGGAGTCCCAGTAATTCCTAGTATGTGCTTTAGAGTTGCTCTTGCTTGTGCCAAGAAGCATCTGGAAGAATATTCATAGTAGGACTTCTCATAATATACAAAAACGAGAAACAACCAAATGGTCATCAAAGGAGAATGGACAAGTACATCATATTGTGATCGCACAATGGGAATGTTATATAGCAGTGAAAATGATGACCATCAGCAATATCCAGAAATAAGAATAAATCTTAGAAACAATACTGAATCAAAACAATCTCAGAAGAGCCAACATATAGTATGTTGGCTTCCTAATGTTTTAGGAAGGTCAAAACCAGGCAAAATTCAACTTCGTATTACAAAACTGTAATTTTTAAAATCAAGGGGATAATAAACAGAAAATTTAGGATGGTGGTTATCCTAGATTGGAGGTGAGGTAAAGGAAAGGGTCAAGAGGGGGACATTCAATGTGTTTCAGTGACCTTAGAGACATTCCTGTTCTCAGGGTGTTGGGTTCCTGGAGTTCATGGTATTCCTAGGCCTTAAGCTATCATGTGTAGATGTTAAATGTGACATTTTAAAAATTTAAAGGTAGTTTTTAAGAAGCAAGCAATGGGCAGTTTAAGATATATAAAATATATATATATATTTTTAATTCATGATGAAAGGGTTTTCTTTTTGAAATCTTTTTGAGTCTTCAAGAGACAACGGGAGCATTCACATGGTTTCGCAGCTGTGGTTTATACCAGGAATCTTGAATTGAGAGCTGATATTCCTCCATTTATCTAGAGGGCATGGTCGGAGGATGAAGGTGAAATGCTGCTCAATGACTCCTCACCAGGAGTGGGGAGTGCGGGACCCACTGGTGCTCAGGGGATGTGACTGGGAGGGCCTGGGAGGGACCCAGCTCTGCCCACACAGAGCTTACCGCATCACAGAGGACATTGCAATACTAGGAAAAGGCGGTAAAAATGGTCTTTTCAGGACCCAATCACATCACCCCGTGTCCTTTTTTGTTTACCGTGTGTTTTAGTCAGCTTTTCGTGGCTGTGCCCAAAATACCTGACAAGAACAACTTCCAGGAGAGAAAGTTTATCTGGGGCTCACGGTTTCCACTCCATTGCTCTGGGCCCAAGGTGAACCACATCATGGGGAAGGGGCCAGGAGAGGGAAGTAGAGGAAATAGAGAAAGAGGGTAGGGGGAAGCACCCCCCAACCCTCCCAGGTGTGCTCCCAGCACCCGCCTCCTCCTCAGCCATGCCCCCTTGCCTACAGGTAGCACCTGACTGGTGCAGACAGGATAGACTGCTTAGGTGACAGCTCTCACAATCATTTCACCTCTGAATATTCCTGTTTAACAGGAGTGTTTGGGGGACACCTCAGGTCCTTCAAGGACTTTCCCTGGGCCCTGGGGTCAAGCTCAGCCAGATGGTATACAAGGACCTCTCTTATCTGGTCTTGGGCCTTCTTCAGCCACAGGGTGTGCTGAGTCACTGTCCCTCACCTCTCTAGGCAATGTCCCCAGTCACTCCTCTCTACTCTTCACTATTCCATAATCAGCTCCCTCTCTCTAGAATGTCTCCCCCACCATCTGCTCCAACCTTGGCTAAGTCCTACTTGAACCTGTCCTACCTCCTTCTCATAGAAGTATCCTGTGAACCATTGACTGGTATAAATCCCTGGCTGCACACATCTGTAGCTCTGGGTACCCCTGTCAGCTCCAGGGTTGCTCACCATGGTGTCCTCACAGGGCATAGCAGGAGCTTGGTCAATGTGGACAGATTTACCCACAGATGTCTTAAGAATTCTGTGCAAACTCCAAAGGAGGGAGAGATCACATGTACTTGGAGTGAAGAGATGGCCACTTGCGGGGGAGGAACCCAGGCCACATCGTGACTGCAAGAGCTGTTCATTACTGACGAGCTGGCCTGCATTGGACATTGTCCTAAGGGCTCAGTTCGGTGTCCCTGCAGTTGCAGCAGTGGTGCTGGGTAGAAGAGACTTTGCCTCTGCCCAGTCGCAGCCTGCCAAGCCCCTCTCTGCCAGGCTGGAGGATGCATCTTTTCCTTCTCTGATTCTAGCGCAGAGTCAGTGTCACCATTTCAAAGCTGTCCCCCTGTCTAGCAGAAGCTGTGCCTCTGCCTGGAAGCGGGATTCACCACCTCATTTTCAACTTGCAATGCCCTCCTCCCCCAACCCTGCCACCATCTACTACTACAGGTTATTTATTTGTTGCTTTTTTTTTTTTCCTCTTACTCCACTATTGGTTGTAGAACTGGGGTCTGGGAAGGTATCTTTGGTCATTCTGAGCAGAAATGCAGTCACAGTAAAGGTTGTGGTCTGATGCCTGTGTTGTTTGGTGAGGAGTCCTATATGGATCAGTAGAAATTTCCAGAATCTCCTTTCCCTGGACTCAGCGTGTGCATCCATCCTGCCCAGCAGCAGACATGGGTGACAGGGGCAGTTTTCATGTCTCTAGTGCTCCATGCAAATGCCCACTGCTGTCTTGGTTTTAGGACTGCAGCTCCATCTCCCATCCAGTGCCACAGAGTTCCCATGAGTGAGCCCCAAGGTATCAGGCAGGTTGGCACCTCACCCTGGAGAGACTTGGAGTGTTGAGACAGCATTTTAATAAGTTGTTTAGGGCCTTGCTAAATTGCTGAGCTGGCCTCCAACTTGTGGAGGCCTGGCAGAGAGGGGCTTGGCCCTCCTCTTTGTCTTAGCCTCCCAAATTGCTGTGTGTCACTGCGCCCAGCCAGATGAAGATTCTGAGGTTCAGAGAGGTGAGATGCTTTGCCCCAGGCTGATGACTGATAGAAGTGAACTCTGATTTGGATCAAGATTTTCTGACTCCGGTTCCAATGCTCTTTCTTTTTCCTTTTTCTAATGGAGGAAAGGTCAAGGAAACCTGAATTTGCTCAGATCAGATGGAAACTTCCCTTGGTATTTGACCCCAGGCTCTGCCTCTGCCACCACCCTCAAGAGACAAAAGACCCTCCAGGAATTGCTGGGCCTTCAGGGAAACTTCAGGGATGCAAATGTTCACAGGTGTCCCAGGGATGACTGCCCTTGGGACAGAGGTCTGACCCCTAGAAGTTGACTCACTATCATCTTTGCAGATGAACTGGAGCCATAGCATTTGAGAAAATCTCTGGGGCTTCCTTCAGGAGGTACTATAATGCCTCACCCCAGGGACCCCCGGCTGAGTTGGTGCTCCAGGAAGGTCTCAGGCAGAGGGGAGCTGCAGCCGGATCCCCTTGGCTCCCAAGAGCCAACTGTGCACATCTCTTCCCAACTCTGCACTCAGTGACATGCATTGGCAGCTTGAGATCAGCCACGTGGCAGTATTTCTGCCACGGGAATTGGCAGATGGTGCCCTCCAGAGCTTCCCCCCTCCCAGCCCATGCCAGGGGCAGTTTACCTGCACAACACTGACAAGCAAGTTCCATCCGTGAATCAGAAATGAAATCATGGAAATGATGTCTTCATGACCAACTGACTGGGGCCCTGAAGCTACGTCTTGGTTTATTTTTAAAACAGGGTGTGGCCAAGGAAATTCTCTTCAAGAGATCTGCATTGTGTTCAGAATGCTGTGTCCTCTGGCACCTGCTTCAGTGGAAAGACAGAGACACACTGGCTTATAAAAGAGGGACAATTTGAAGGCTGTCTGTCCTAAGTCTCTTTGTCCAGGGGAGCTACAGAGGCCCCAGCTACCCAGGGCCCAAGTCCAGAGAGGGGAGATGTCACGGTCGAAGAGACAGCCAGGGTGGACTCACAGTCAATTCGGGTGACCTGGCAGCCCTGGGGTACTTAGGAGTGTCATTTGCTGACATTTACCAGAAGGCCAAGTGGCTGATCCGGTTACACTTTGCTATGGTTTGAATATTTATTCCCTGCAAAACTCACGTTGAAATTTAATTGCCAATCTATCAGTATTCAGAGGTGGGAGGTGATTAGGTTGAGTGCTCTGCCCTCCTGGGTGGGAATGATGCCATTATAAAAGGGTCAGCTCAGCCCCCTTTTCTCTCTTCTGCCTTCACTGGGCAGAGGACTAAGTGTCCCTCCCCCCAGGGCACACAGCATGCCAGGCCCCATCTGGGAATGAGAACTCTAAACCTTCCAGCACCCTGACATTGGACTTCCTGGTCTCTAGACTGAGCTAACACACTTCTGCTCTTTATAAATCACACAGTCTCTGGTTTTCTCTTCCAGAGCCACGAAACAGACCAACACACTCCCAGTCTGAGGCTCATGGGGAGCCTGTTAAACAGGTTCCATTCATGAGTAAGGAGACTGAGGCTCTGAGTGCAGGAAAAAGGGCGAGTAAGGCCCGAATCTGGCTCCCACTGCTCTTCTCTCAGTTTTACCCCATCCTTGGTCCTCGGGATGCTGTCTTCAACCCTCCCTCCTGAGCAGTGGTGATGCTTACGACATGGCCTCTCCCAGGACAGGAAAGAGGGGTGGCAATGACCGCATCTGAGAAGGAGGTAAGAGAGGAATGGTGGCCATCCTCAGTGACCACATACCATGTTGTAAGGGCACCACACGTGCCACCCTAGCAAAGAGCTGATGACTCTCAGGCTAGAGAGGTGAAGTGACTTGTCCAAGTTCACACAGGTCACATGTGGCAGGGCCAGGATTCAACCCCGGGTCTGTCTCCAAGCCTCTGTTCTATGGGCTATAGGTCAGGAGTGCCAGGAGGGACCAGGAACCACAGGAACCAGGAGTCAGGGCTCTGGGCCTAAAGAGAAGCCTCTCCCCAAGCAGAGGAAGTGGACTTGGTCTCCTCTTTTTTTATTTTTTATTTACACGCTCTCTCCCTTCCCTTAGCTTCATTGCCCACATTTTCCTACCTGTCAGCTTGCTGCGCGGTGACAATGAGAAGGTGGAGACAGCGTCAGACAGTGAGGAGACTGGGACCTGGAGCTCTGCGCCCAGCCCTGGAGAAGTTATTGGACTTCTCTGGACTCTCACTTCCTCCTCTGTAAAGTGGGCATTGGCAGGTGGTCCACTGACAAGATGCCTTCCATAGGATTCTGGGACATGGACATCTCCCACAATGCCCTGTTCTTCTCATCCTCCACCTGCCCTGTCCCCCCCTTGTGGAAGGACAGATGACCCGGTACAAGGCAGCAAGATCTGCTAACAAAGACAGTGCAGAGAAATCCACCCAAGGACTGTGGGCACCACACGGTGCTCTGCAGAATAGAACTATTTTCTTGTTTCTGAAATGGTCCCCCATAACTAGGCTTTGAGTTATTTGCTAAAAGTACCCTGTGGCAGATAACTAGCCCTCTAAATGCCTTCATCCATCTTCCTCACTTCTGTAAAGCGGGAGAAGTCTTCACTCTTGTTTTGCATAACCTCAAGCACTGTCTTCCAACACTCTTTTCCTCAACTATTCCCCACCATAAACCCCTGCAGCAGCCCCAGAGCTACTTAGAGGACTCTGGAGGCCATGGTGGAGAAGCAGGACTCCTTCCTCTTAACAGCACCAGCCAGAATCTCAGAGTCAAAAGGGACCTCAGAGTCCACCTCGACCAATTTCTCTTCCAGTGTAATAGTCCCTCCTGATGTCCAGCCGTCTCTCCATGGAAACTTCCAGGGATTCTGGCCACTCACTGGAATGCCTGGAATTGTTCAGAAGTGCCTCCACATTCTGAACCTTGGTCTGCCTTCCTATAGTTCCTAACTATAGGAAGAGTACTGGTCCGGTCCTCTGAAGTGAAGCAGGAAAGGCCAATTCTCTTCTCCATGACAGCCTGGAAAATTCATGAAGGCAGCCAGTTTATGTCCCGGGTCATTCCAGGGTAAAAGTCTACCACTTCCGCAGTCACAGCTTAGATGATGAGATTTCCAGAGCTCCCCTTGGATGCCCTCCAAGTTTCCATGTCCACCTTCAGGAGCGTCTACAAGAACTGGATATGGCATGCTGAGAACAAAGGGATGGAGGTTGTTCCCTCCCCTCACGTAGCCACCATGTCCCACTTGGGTTACATAGCCAAAAAAAGAGACTAGCTACACAGCGGCCAAGCTGCACCCCCATTCATACTGAAATTTCTAGAATTTCTTTTCTCCCAATTGGGACTTACACAATTAACTACTGGAACCTAAGTAAGGCACTTGACCTTGTAAAAGTTCAATCTTTCAGTTTGTTTATTAAGATCCTTTTGAAATTGTGCTCTACATATGTAAAATAAATTGTAATGCATTTTGCTGTCATATATAACAAACGAGAATAAAAATTTTTTTAAAAAAGATCCTTTTCAATCCTGATATTTGGTCATCCAATCTTTTAACTCTTCCACCTAGCTTTGTACCAATTTTGAAGTCAAAATCCACATAGGACAAAATCTAAGGACAGAGCTCTGGCCAGGGCGCTATATGGTCTCTTTCTCAGTTGACTCTGAGGCATTGGAAGTTAGTTACTGTTTCTCAACCATGCCTTCAGTCGCTCTGAGAATAACAGCTATTCCACATCTCAGAAAACTTTTTCAGGTCATTTCACCCCAGCTCAGACAGGTCAGGGGTGTCATTCCTACTGACATGTTTGCAATATGCCAAATGCCCACACAGGCAAGCCTTTGGTACATCCAAAATCACCTGTCACTAATGTCTCCAGTCTTCTACTGGGATCAGGGTGTAACGTTTCTGTGTCACTCACCCTCTTCCTAGGGTGTCGCGGGTGAGTGACATCAGGGGTGAATGCGTGTGAAGAGATGCAGCCCCAAGGAAGGTGCCTTACAGGAGGAGTTTCTAAACGGGGAGAGGCTGGGAGGAGCTTCCCACATCTTTGTGTTACTTAAATTCTTTTCAGCTTTTTACCTTTTTGGTTTCTCTTGACCACCAACACCTTGTCAATCCTAATTTTGAAATTCCCTTTATGCCTGTAGACCTTATAAGAATGGGGACTGAGGGTACAGCCAGATGATGTGAATTTGGTGGGAAGGAGTCAAAAACCAAATGTCCTGAGCCAATGGGTTCCTAAAGTCCCTTCACAGTTGAACACCATGAGACAAGAGACTTAGGAGCTCAGATGGTGCCCACTGAGGCTGGGAGTGGGGGTAGGACAGACAGCCCTTCGTGAGCTTGAGTTCCAATGCACGTGTCTCCAACAGGGAGAGCTGCCCAGCTCACAGGCGGAGGAGGTATACCCTGAGCAAGTTACTTTACCTTTATTTCTACAACTACAAAATGATAATATTTACTTCACAGGGGTTTTTGTTATGAGGGTTCAGTAAAGCAATTCATTCAAATTTCCAGGAATAAGTTCCTTTCACATCCTCCCTAGACAATGACTATTCCATTTTCATCTTTGGGAGGAGCAGCAACACAGTTTTTCCTAGTGGCCCTACAACTCCACATCCCTAGCAGCAATGCACACATGTTCTAGTTTCTCCACATCCTCTTTTTCATTGTGTTTTGTTATTGTAGTTCTTACTGAGGTGCAGGATTGCTCTATGTATTCTGGATAGTAATCTCTTATACATGATTTGCAAATATTTTCTCCCACTCTATGAGTTACCTTTTCCCTTTTTTGTTAGTGTACCAATATACAAGTTTTTAATTTAGATGATATCCAATTTATTTTTAGTCATCTATATTTTTGGTGTCATAGCCAAACAATCATTTGTCATGAAACTTTCCTTCTAAGATTTTTATAGTTTTAGTTGTTACACGGAGATTTTTCAACCATTTTGAGTAAACGGTTTTATATAACATAAGTTAATGATCCCACTGCATTTTTTATTTTTATTTTTTTGAAAAAAAATCTATACAAAAGAAGGCCATAGGAATATAGGCACAATAAACTACTTTCAACCAGTGCAAAGTGATACCAATCTCATTATTTTCCATGTGGATATTCCATTTTCCCAGCACCATTTATTGAAAAGACTATCTTTCCATTGAATGATCTGGGAACATTTGTTGTAAATTATTTGACAGTGTGTGAGGGTCTGTCTCTAGGCTTTCTGTTCTACTCCAATGGTCTATATCTCTGTCTCTCAATGTCACTACTGAACTGTTTTGTTTACGTAGCTATGCAATAAGTTTGAAATCAGGACGTATGAGACCGCAATTTTATTCCTTTTTTTTCTCAAGATACTCATGACCATTCTGGATCCCTTTAGATTCCATATGAATTTTAGAATGCATTTTCAAAAAAATTTTTGCAGAAAACATCATTGTGATTTTGGTCGAGATTGTATTAAATCAATAGGTTGCTTTTTGTAGTATCAACATCTTAACATTATTAATTCTTTCAGTTTATGAATACACAGGATATATTTTCATTTTAAACTGCTTTCAGCAATATTTTGTACTTTCAGTGCACAAGTCTTTTACCTCCTTGGTTAAGTTAATTCCCAAGTATTTTATTCTTTTTAATGATATTGTAAATGATGTTATTAATTTCTTTTTTGAATTATTCATTGTTAGCATTTAGAAGTGCAATTGTTCTTGTGTTTTGATTTTGTGTCCTGCAATTGTGCTGACTTCTGTATTGTTGTTTTCATTGCTTTTTTAGACTTTAGTCTTATAAATGAGCCCCAGAGAATACTCTGAGCTACACATTCCTTTGTCCCCAATGTTCATGTCCCAATCTCCCAAGAATCCAAGGATTTCTCAATTGACAGGTAATCTTGCATCATCAGAGGTCAAGGGGCCAGTTCTAGAGTGGCTCCTTTGTCACTGTTACTGGACTTCTACAGAAGGTCCTCTGTGAGGGTTTGCTTTGCACCAGGTCTATAGATTGGGGTCCACTCTTAACTCTTCCACTTACCAGTCTTGTGCTTGAGCAGAACACCCAACTTCATTGAACTTGGAATTTCTTCACTGTCAAATAAGGAGGTCCATCTGTCTATATGTCCTCTAAGGTCTTTTGCAGCACTAAATACCATACGCTAGATTATTTATCCGAGCTCTGTTTTCATCAGTACCTGCTGACTGAGGTATGGTCAATCATTTGCTAAATAGTTCAGTTTTTATTCTAGAGAAACACCCACTGTACAGAGTGCATATGAAAAAGGTTTGCATTGTATGAATTATTTTCCCATTTGAAACCCAGAATCTCGCTCAAATGGCTTTCCAACCCATATTGTACTGAAGTATTCTGTTTGTTCCATTAACTATTCACAGAGTCAACTGGGGAACCGTTGTTATTAATTTCAATGGAAAGCTAAAATGCAGTTCATTTTCTGTAATTGCAGGCCCACGGTCTAAAGAGCCAGCGAAAGCTTTTAATCTGAGGCTTTTTTAGAGGAGTATGATCAGAATTACATGGAACATCTTTTGAGGGTGCATAATTATCAAAACCTCCATGACATTGACATTCAAAGAGCCCTATACCATAGATGCTAAACTCACATGCAGGGGACAAGGCAAATTGCCATCTTAGTCACTCATGGATGGAGAAATGTCCATGGATAACGTCGACAATGTTTGCACACCTTACTTTTCTATCTTATTCCAACTATGTGGTTCTTCATATCACATGGAAGATGGATATGCCCACTTTTCTCTTCTATGTAAGTTTTTTGTGGCCTCAGAGGTCCCACCCAGACACCCCCTCAACCACCAGCTGCAAACACAGGGAAGCTGCAAGTAAGAGTGGCCACTCCATGTGACCACCAGAGGGCGCTAGAATGTGCCGCAGCTAACCAGGACCTCCCTCAGCTAGGAACTGACCAATGGTGATTCCCCAGAGCTCCTGGAGTTCTGAGGCTCAGCTGCTCTAGTCTGCGGGGAAAACAAAGAACTAACCAGTTGTCCCATTTACCAACTTCTTCCACACTACTTAAGTATGATCAGGGCCATCCTCCTCCATTGGTCACAATT